TAATACATGTTGAATCAACAAAATAAGTAAATAAAAGCATATCAGAAATACAAGGAATTGTAACAGTAAAAGAAACATGTTGGTTTGAGGACTGAAATGTCAATTAGAACATACCAGTGAAGTGAAGAAAGCGAAAACACAAAGCAGAAATAGGAGAGGCACAGTAGCTAGCCTTGGCTTGCAGCCGGCTAACTTAGAGGTAGTAGCAAAGTAATTAGGATCCTGAATTCCCTCTACATGTTAAGTTATGCTTTACTTGTCAATGACCAGCATGTTTCTGTATACTTAGTACATGTTTCTTATGTGAATCCCCATGATTGGTACGTTAGTTTGATCATGGTCCTAGTTGTTCGGTGTTGATATGTTAATCTAATCCAATACCCTACTGTCCCCCCTGATCCTCTGAACCTATAGGAGTTTCTGATTGTGTGCTCATATATGTTCCTGCCTGCTACATGTTTTCCCTCACATGCTCCATATTTGTCCCTCCAATCCCATTCCCTTGCTTGTGTTTGCTGGACTATTCTTGGTCCTTGGTGTGATGCTGACTTTGTTTTGGTTCTGAGATTGGTATGCATGCTCCTTCAAATTGTTTTCATCAGTTAAACTTTGTTATAAAACTATTTTAATTAAGTCTCTCTTTTCAAAATTGATTCTTACTTACCCTTTTTCAAAACTATTTTCTTACTTAAACTCTTCAAAACTATGTCGAGCACTCTCACTCTACTCTTAGACAACTAAGTTCTGCCCTTTTGTGTGAGCATTGCCTTGGGACCCTTGAGCTCCCTCTGAAATTTGACACACAAAAGCTGGCCTTTCCACACTGCGCTTACTCTATCTTGGCTATGAATCTGGGTGTGAGCACTGCCCGGGACCCCTTGAGGTTCTTAGGGAACTCTGACACACTCGGATTATGAGAAAGGTCGTGAAACAATACTTGGCATTGAGGACCTGGAGACTTGGGCCTATTCTGTAGGCTCCCTATAATTAACTTCTTATTTTTTTTTCTTTATTTTCAGTTATGTAATTCCTATTCAAAGGCCTGTAATAATTATTTATAAACGACTCTAGGGTTGGATAGTGAAAAGGGGTGGGTAATATGCATGTTGTAGTATAATCCAGGGTAGAAATCATGTTCCTAGGTTTACTTTCTCTATGCACAATAGCAGCCATGTTTAGGTACAACATGCCAAGCATGCCGTGCATTAGATATCATGCTATTTAGGATTTATAAGTACTATTTTCGGCATCTCATCCACACTTAGAAATCCTGTCTATAGGGTAGATAATAACAATAAAATAAGCTGCTATTATGTGATTCTGCCCATGTAAATATATTCTGAAATTTCGTTTAGAAATCCTGCCTTAGGGTAAACATGTTAACACAATTTGTTATTCATGCACTCACCATATTGCAACCATGCTCCGCACTTAGAAATCCTGCTTTAGGTAAACAACATCAAAACTGTCACTCCTGCCTCATTTTGAAGCTGTGCATAATTTGATGTGCATTTAGAAATCCTGTTTAAGTTATTATGCATCATGCTGCATTAGACATCATGTTATAGGATCGCACTTATTCAATCACACTAGTCTAACTACAGATGTATAAACAGTCCTCCTGATCTAAACAAACTGGTAATTAGTCTCTGGATGTTTGCAACATTTAAAATTTCATGCTATTAGGTATAACAACCTGGAATTACTAACAAATCTGAATAACTGCTACATATTATTTTACGCCTAGGCAAGCCTTAGGTAATCAACTTTAAAATAAAACCAGAACCGTCTTTGTGATTAGTGTTTAACTTTCAGCATGTTAAAATCAGTAGGCAAGCCTGATTAGGACTTCCTCTCTGAGTTATGTAATAAATCTGACTCTGTTGTTATCACTTAGATACCATGCTTAGGATCTCAATTTAGACGTTAATTGTGTATGAGTCATGCTGTTTATGTGTACTATGTGTGGAGGTATATCTGAGCCTTTTATTTGTCTTCTATGCTCCCCTTTAATTGAAGTCCTATCTGTTTATTATGTGTCGCTTTAGTATTTTACCTTTAAACTTGAGGGTCTGCCTAGAACCCCATTTTTATAGGATAGGAGTCCTAAATTCCTTCGGGACTGATAGGAAGGGACGGGTAACAGCATGCAATAGGGGTCGAGACCAACCCTCGCTTTAATTACCTTCATGGGGTGGGAAAGGGTAGATATGGATATGATGACCGGTGCGTTAATACCACGTGTAGCCCCCCTTCGAGGAGTGTCATACCGGGTATTGCATTGATGCGATCCATATTATAAACAAACCTAGAATACCCCTTTACATTCACAAATATGCTTAGATTGTAATTCTTTTCAAAATCTAGCTTTTCATTAACTGTTTTTCGAACATCTGTATACTTAAACTTAAATCCCCTATTATTTGAGTCATACTTGTTTATTTGCTAAATTGTACAAATCCACAAAAGTTGTTTGGCCGGGAACCACACTGGTGGATCCTGAGGGGTGCCTAACACCTTCCCCTTAGGATAATTTCAAGCCCTTACCCTGTCTCTGGTTACCAAACGTAGTTATAAATGAACCCTCTAGGTGCCCTAACGCAACTTAAATCGTTAGGTGACGATTCTTCAAAATACAAACCCCTTTCCCAAAAGGAACGAGTTGTCTCAACCAAAATGTCATAAACCCGATTTTGAGAGAAAAAGGGGGCGCGACAATTTGTTTTTTCCTCTTTACCTCCAATCACTTGTTCTACCTCTTAGCTTTTTTCAGTAATTGGTAAATATATCTGTAGCCAACTGTTTGTATAAATAATTTTAGTTGCTTTAAATGATATATGGTGTTAAATATTGAAAATTCTCCATGAAAATTCCCTAGTGTTGAACAAGACAAGTAGTGAGTGGTTTGACCCAGAACAAATAATATCATACCATATTAAAGAATTTTTGAGTTGTCTTCGCCAAAAGTGTAAAAAGCCGAAATTTGGTGATTATTCATAATATTAGAATAGGAAAGATTTACTTCTTTGAAATCATTATTCGTGAAACATCATTACCCCTTTCTACTAAATTGAAAAGAGAAAGTATTCCTAGAATTCTTTCTATAAAAAGAAAAAAAAAAAAGGATACATCAATAACTTTTACAAAATATAAAGGAGGTAACAGAACCAACCCATTTAACTACCAATAAGAAACAAGAAAGAAAAAAGACCAAACAGAACAAGGGAAAAGGTATGGATGAGTGGTTGATCAATCACTTGCAGTGGTGGGTCTTGTAAATTTACGCGAACCATTAATTTTCGCGTAGACCTTATATATATATATTAAAAATTTATTAAATATTTATAAATATTTGACCACGAACTCAGTTATTATTATATCTTAGCTTAAAAGATAAAATAAAATTATTTAATAATAATAAAGGGCAAGATGAGAAAAAAAAATAAGAAAACGATGTGATCACACCAATCAATCGTTCCATAAAGTGACACTTTTTGTCGTTACGTAACAACAGATTTAACGATACGATACAATAAAATTTAAGTAACAATCAAAATAAATATTATTTTTAAAGTAACAATACGATACAATATAACAGGTAACAGCCATCCGAACAAGTTGTTATAGGTCATAGGAAGATAATTTTATCGTTGCTCCAAGATTTCCCTCCTTGTTCGTAAATGACTAATTACTAAATCAATACACCCCGTAATTCATTTTATGTTGCACTCTTTCTTTTCTAGTGCTTAAAAAAATTCACTTGTATTTGAAGATTCTTTTTAACTTTAATCTTCTAATTTTACCTTTAAAAACTCACACATTTTAAATCCTGAATCCGCCTCTCATCATTCGGCAATTCAAACTAAAAGAACCCCATCAGGGGTCTGAAGTAACAAACACTCGAATGAGTCAAAATAACAAACTAAAATAACACCTAGGCTACCCTTTCCTTCAAGCAAAAGCCTATTTTATCATTTGCATATTAATCCTTTTAAAACCTAGCAAAGACAACTCATTCCCATTACAGTATTTATATATGCAAATACATTTCTGGGCAGTGTTGACATGAAACTTAGTCATATAACACGTATTTCATTTAATATGTGTACCCTTTCAAGATATTGTTTTGAAGTCAAGAAAGGAAACGTGAAAGAGAGGTTAGAATTGAAGCAAAAGCAATAACACTAATAAAAAGGGATCAAAATATGAAAACATAGAATATAGGTGAAATTGTAAGGAGAAAAATTGGAGATGATGAGTACTCTTCCAAGTGTTGGCAGCAGTGGAAGAACTTCAACGACTGCGGACGACAACGATGAAGATCAAGAGATGACAAAGATGGCATTGGCTTCATTTCAAGCAAGAGAAGAAGAGATTGAGAGGAAGAAAATGGAGGTGAAAGGAAAAGTTGAGTCTCAACTTAGCCGTGCTGAAGAGGAAACTAGGCGTTTGGTTCGTGTTTGGGAGGTAAGCAATGGCGAAGCCAGTAAAATTCAATAAGGGTACATTTTGTCAGTGGACTATACAAAGGTGTTCAAAGTCTATTTTTATTTATTTATCGATAACAAGTAATATTTTATCCTATATATAATATAATTTTTCGGTGAAGGGTATTCAATTGAACCCCTTTGGCCGCACATAGTTTCGCCCCTAGAGATAAGTACAAGAAAACTGCTCCATCTGATCTCAAATATTAGTCGTTTTAACAAACTAGAATAAAATGTTCATTTCTTAATTTTTGATTTATTATTTCATGTTAATAACTTTTAAAAGGAGCTTGAAGTGTTGACGGATCCAATGAGAAAGGAAGTTGCAATTGTACGCAAGAAAATTGACGTGGTTAACCGTGAAATCAAATCACTTGGACAGACCTGTCAAAAGAAGGTACGTAGTATTTGCTTACTTCCTTATTGCTCTTTTAGTTTTCAGCTTCTTCTTCTTCTTCTTTTTTCCGGGTATTACCACTTTCAGTCCGCGCCAGAAACTATTTACATTAGATAGCCGAAAAGGTGTATAAAATTTATATAATTTTCGTATATAACATAAAAAATGTATACAACAACGACATCAACATCCAGTATATTCTCACATGTGGAGTATGGGAAGGGTAGTGCCCCTATCTAATAAAAGTAGAGAGGCCGTTTTCAATTGACCCTCGGCTCGGAAAGGTAAGGAGGAGAAAAAGAAGAATAAGAACAAGAAGAAGCAGAGGGAGAAAAGAAGAAGAAAAAGGAAGGGTAGGGGAGACAAGAATAAATAGTACCAAAATAGTAACAACAGGAGAATACAATAATTAAAACAAACTACACAACGTGATGTAATATAGATCTAGAAATAGGAAAGAACATGTGTGCTACTAGTACTACTGGTAGACCTCCACACCCTCCTATCAAGGCTCATGTCCTGCCTAATCATCTCTTCCCCCCCCCCCCCCCCCCACCCCCATACAGCTAAATTCGTTGTTCAATTGCTAGTTTTACAACTTAAAATAAATCTTCTCGTAATGCTCCCTCACTCCTAATTTGTGTTTGTATTATTAAGATTAATTTTTTTTTATGATTTTTCCCATGGCAATAGGAGAAAGAATACAGAGAAGTGTTAGAGGTTTTCAACGAAAAGAATAACGAGAAAACTCAGCTAACCTCCACTTTAGTAGAGGTGACGATTCATAATAACCATTCTTTTTTATATTCTTTTCCTTTTAAATTCCCCTGATTTAATTGACTTTGGATGGTGCATTATCATGTTTTAGCTAGTGAAGGAAAGTGAGAAATTGAGAATGGGAAAGCTAGAGGAACTAAGCAAGGTTTTGAATCCCAAAGGCTAGTGCTGTTGAACTCCAGCATTGGCAATTGCTGACACTAACGAATGATTCACATATTCTCTACGTATCATACACAAACAATTTATTTTTAACTTTCACTTGATATCCCCCGAATAATGTATCAAATTTTCCTTCCTTCGGTTTGATTATTCACTGTTGTTGAAGAGTTTGTTTGCAAGCAAAAAAAGAAAAAGAAAAAGAGAGAAAAAGTTTGTTAAGTTTGTTCGGCTTCCTTTTAGTCCTCAATTGTATACTCTTTAAGTCACTGTATGTAAATTCGAAGAGTCCTAATAATGCCAATTTTTGGCGCCAAAGGCATAGCTCAAGCGACAAGTTGGGGATTTACAGAGAAATGCTTTACCAAACAAAAACAATGAAATATAGAAGTCTATATAGAGACTTTTACAAACTGCCAGAAAAAGTAGGAAGTTTATGAGTACATTCAAGATTTTACGCGTCTTTGCTAAATCATAGGGATTTACCTCGATCCACCCCCCTTCCCCCAGGTGTTTGGGGGGGTGTTCTGAGTTGAGAAACACTAGTACAACTAATTTCCAGGGGGTAAGCTCATGATTAAATATAAGATCTTGAACTTGAAATTTTTAATCTGCTCCTATATCCACGACGAGTTGTTTGTACTCAGCTAGCAGATGTGGTATATCATCCATACGTAGCTGCAGATCAGAAAAGAACATTTTAACTGAAAACTAACAATCGAAGAGGAGCAAATGACATTACTACTAGGAAAAAGGTGATAAAAGTGAAGAGCTAGCAACAAACAGATCACAGATGCAAACAAATGCACATATTTAAAAGAAAGGAAAGATGAAGATAAAGAGAGAAAGAGGGGTTCAAAAAATGAAGTTTACACCCAACTTTGGTTTCGACTCAGATGTCGCTTCTACTGTTTATGCAAACTAAATACATATTAGGGAAACTATACACTTGATGGGTTGATAACTAAAGCCCTGGTTTGCGGTAATAACGAATATCTCCTCTATAGCATGATAATTTACATTTACCTTCCCTAGCAGGAAATAGTGTTAAGTTTAGTGTCTTTTCAGCATCTTGTCCACAAAGCTTTATGCTAATGTTCAAATGCAAAGCAGTCTTAATATGGAATGGTTGCAAAAATAGATCTACTTTAACACGAACTGTCAAGTAAGAAGCACTCTGTTGCTAACCTCAGTATTCATGACGAACTACTGGAAAAGATACATGAAGTAGGAGGAAAGTGGAAAACTTAACAAATAATTAGCATGATGACATTAAAAGTCCGAATATCAAGCTCCAAGGAAACTTGAGCTAGTTGCAGCACTCAACAAATCAGAATATCAAGCACCAAGGACACTTGAGCAATATATAAGAGAGATGATAAAGAAGTGAAGCAACCAAGAATTCAGATGTAAATAACATCAAGACTAACAAATAGAACCTTGAAGAACTCATACCTGACTAATATTTCTGATATGATAGAATCTATAAGTCTCTTTCCCCATCGATCCAGCATTCGAGGATTGTAAGAGTGATCTTAGCTTTTCCCTATAATGTCAAATGATCAAAACTTATACTGTGAGAAGGTGAACAGCATTTCAGTTGAGGTACTCCCTCCCCCTCCATTTTCTTTTTCTTTCCTCTTCAAGAGGAAATTTGTTCCTTCAACTGTCCACGCATTCATATAATGGGAGGAAGTAATTGAAAGACCAAATTTTACTTAGATTTGATAGCAGATCACATAGATTTCATTAAATTCAATGATTAACTTATTTCCGTGTCATGAAAATTGATAAAAGTAAGGGTCAATACACTTACGTCATGCTGGTTGAAAGGAGATTCTAAAATTTCATCATCATATCTAAATATCTATAGTATAAAGCCCCAAAATTTAGTCTCACACCAGTAGAACACAAGAAAACTTTAAAAGAAAATAAACAAATCACTTGCTAACAAACAAGTTTATCAGCGACTTGGTTACTTGGGGAAACATGAGTTTTTATGCACATGTGAATGCTTATGGAAAGACATAAGAAGCACCCCATAAAACATGCAAGATCTCTTAGTAAGCCCTTGCTGACATATCAGGTGCCATGGAACACTATCCAGGGAAAGCATCTATATATAGTGATAGTGATCCATCGCCTTGACTTGAAATACTACTGTAAACCAACAATGCAATAGCACTTTATATGTCACTAGTGAAATTTACATTTACTTTCATCACTCGCAGAAGTAGTCTGACTTGATCATCTTTTCAGGATACGTAAGTTCTTCTTCACATTTATAAGAATACCAGAACTTAACTAGATGTAAACATAAAGCAAAAATGTACAAGACAATGTTCTTACTTCTGAAGGTGGGTAATCATGCGCTGGTAGTCACGAAGTAATGGGCTAAGCTCCTTTAATTGAATTGACTTTGGCGAGGACCTTGACCAATGGTCACGAAGTGCTTGTACAACCTTCAGTGATCAAACAATTCAAGATTAACTTAAACATTTGCTCAGGTGCATGCGCATGTCCATGTGAGTGTGTGTACATATTGCATAATATACACTGAGCAAAGAAATTACAAACCTCTTTATTACTGAGAGCTCCCTCTCCAACCAATTTAGATGCCAATTCTAATAATTCTGTATCTTCCAACTCATCTACAATTTTCTTTATATTGGAATTGGAGATGGAGACTGAAACTCCTATCCTTTTCTGCAACTCTGCCAAAGCATCTTCTTGCATTTGCCTCTCCTATTAATAGTAAGAGAGAGTTAAACCAGGATAGATCCTTTGTCCGTCATAGAAGCAATATCAACACACTCATCTAATTTTATTTTTATTGAGATGGTAAATATACATCTAAAATATCAAAGCACAATCACAATAAAGAGACTTACTAGGATGACAGATATAGCCGTGGTAGAAACCGCACCCTCAACAACTGCCACCCACTTATTCACCCCCACCCCAAATACATACCCAAGGAAATCAAAAGATCTTCAAAAAAGACTTGGACATACATGCAATCATGCATGCAGATAGACAGTATCGTCAAGCAATCACTTGATTAAAGAAAACCCAGTGAAGCTTGGGCCAATGGTCAAAGTTGAGGTGCCACAAAATTAGAAGTTATCGGATTAATTCAGTGTAAAATCAAGTTGAACAATATCTGTTTATATTCTTCCCCAGAAGAATAAGGTTGGTTTTATTGGTTTTATCTTGACTTTGTAACTCTGCAAAGTTGTGCTCTCATTTCTTCACTCTCAGAAAATATCAAGTAAGAAATAGTTTGATGCCTCATTTTTTTATAGAACAAGTAAATGGGGTTCAAAGCGACACTTGTGCAAGTAAACAAACAGAATTTGAACGACAAAATAGATTTAATTTCTTTTAAAATTCAAAAAAAAAAACGTTGGCATCCAGCTGCTCTGCAAGCCTTACAGCACTAGTTCAAACACCCTCGTGCCAAGCAAAACCATTATTCCTAGAATATAAAGAAGCCAAAAAAATATCACTTTCTACTACACAAACTCTACTTGTGCTTTTTGTGCTCAAAACTCCAATTCAGAGCCAAAGGGAGTTCCATCACATTTTACCTTCATTTTTCTAGAAAAGGTCAAGTTTGACACCATTTCAAGGATTTCTCAAGTATGATTACAACTTCTTATGCCACACAAAATCTCCAAAGATTGGATGCATGACTCCTTAGTGTGAAAGGAAACCAAAGTATACTCAAGGGGGTGCGGGAATGACCATCTACGTCTAGTGAGTGAGCTGTGCCAATTCATGCTGGTGCCCAAGCACCTTTGAAGTGTAAGTGATTCAAGTTCTGTAAGTAGGGCTAAGCGGCTCTTTTTCATGGGTATCATTCAGTAATTCTTGCTTGATGTTTAACTTTATGCAGAGACTCCACTGACCAGTTCATTCCACGAGTCAAATACGATTTGCATCTAGTTGATACATCATCGAGATGTTTAGGCTCCAAATTCCAAATAACAGCAAAAAGGAACTAATATGTCCAATGCAATGGTAAGGTCTCCTAGCATACACATTTTAATATTTGAACTGAGAGGGGAGTAATAAAAAATGAAAATCCATGGCCCTTTACCTTCTCCATACTTGTCATTGAAGCATCCTGACTTTCATGAATGCCCTTGGGAGGAGAAGCCGTTACACGCTTAGCAATTGGATCATCTAAAGATCATACATTATGAAGAAACATACGTACAAGATGTTAATTGAAAGAATGAGTGTAGTGCAATCAAGTCTATAATACAAGAGAAGTTCGTTCACTTTTCCAAGACATGCATTAGCTTAGAGCTAACTCTTTATTGGCAAATTGTGTAACATTGTACAACTCTAGGACCATTTAAATGGGCGGTTAAACTCTGCATGAGAGTTGCTTAAAAAGGAAGTCTTTTTCCTGGCATATCTTCATACAAAATTGACCAACTCACATAGGGCTATTGTGCAAATTTTAAGGGAAAGCTGGAAGCTGAGAAGATATGGACGAACTCCTGATATCAATTTTCAATGATCTAATAAAATTATAGATCAACAGCATAAAATCACGCAAGTAAGAAATAAACAGCAGAGGATAAATGGATGGAGAACAACAGTATACTAAGAAGGAAGTAATCAATTAAGTTGGTCGCACAACAAGCTAACACAAGTTTTTGAAAAGAGAAGAACTCCGCTTAACAGTGAAAGATTACACAAAGCTGTACTTGAAAGAGACTCAATACCTTCTGGAACTAACCACCAGAGATCACCATAAGTTGATTTTCCATCGAACCCACCAAACAACAAATATCGTGACCCAATGGAGGTCATCGAGTGGTATGCTCGTGCAGCTGGCGGTTCATTCATAGTTGCTAGGCGTTTCCACTGTACAGAGACTGGAAACAGAGAACTTTAGAGCAAAATACTCTTAATGACCATTTACAACAATCATGAATGGTTTTCAGATCATTTAACTATGGGTGTGTTTGGTACGAAGGAAAATGTTTTCCAAGAAAAATAAGTAGTTTTATCACTTATTTTCCCTTGTTTGTGATTGTGCTTTGATAGATATTTAGATGTAGGGGTGCGGGGGAGTTGATGAGGATGGGGAATAGGGTTGGGAAGGTTGAAGAAGAGTTTTGGAAAATGTTTTCCCTTCTCGTGATAGGGAAAACTTTTTCCTCCAACGGGAGGAAAATGAGTTCACGAGGAAAATGTTTTCCAAAGCATTTAAGCCAATCAAACATGGGAAAATTAGAAATTTTTTTCCGGAAAATGTTTTCCTTCATACCAAACACACCCTATGTGCCTCCATCTTCTATAAAACATTACATTCACAATTGTGGAAACATTTGTTAATCTATTTAAGTCTTTTACATCTCCAAATTACTTTTGTATGTACAAGCTATAGAAATATATTTTTGATTGGTACAAGCTACAGAATTCTATTAATGTGGATCAAAATTATTCTGGCATGAAAATGCAAAAGAAGCTCCACAATAGAACAAAACCAAAAATTGTAATGCAGTACAAGTCACAAAGCCTATACCAGTACATGGAGCGCTATAGTAATTCTAAAAAGTAGTGATGATACATGCTTACCCCTGTCTAAAACAACACAATCATTGTAGTAAACATCATACCGACTCAACCAACCACCAGTTCCGTGCCCTCCAAATAACAACAGCTGCAGAGAAATTATAGGTCAGAATGCTTCTTCTTTTCTTTTCTTTTATGGTTGCTGGAAGCAGGGAAAGGTTTGAGTGAACAGTATCAAGTGAAAAGTGGAAATAATTACATTACCCATAACACATAAGTGACAGTTTTTCTTCTTTTTTTATTTGGGATAAAGTAAAGTAAAACGTAATGACAGTGTACAATCATTAAATAACTATACTTGCCACTCTAATGCAACAGTAATTGTGTGGGTATTTCAAGTACAACCTGGGGAAGTTCATCAAGAATTTCAACATAATTCACAACAATCTTTACTGCTGATATCGACACAACCTGGCTTTGCCAATTTGGGCTTCAGGAACAATCGAATACTTGAACTTACATGCACTAACTCCTCCTAGGTGAAGAGGTATGTATAGACACTATGAAGTTTCTATGCACATATATATATACGACTTCAGAAGTAACAAGAGAGTGTAAGGAAAGGAATTACAGAAGTTTGGATATTATCTCCACCACTATTCTTTTAGAACTCTTCAAAGTGGCAACAATACATCTACTTGCAAAGGGTTTCGGCTCCTCTAGTTTTACTACCAGAGTAAACAAAGTGAGTTAAATAAAAAAATTTAATATTCTTTTCTTAAGGGGTTATATGTGCAAAAAGAAATTATACCTCCTCAATAAAAAAATTGCACGCATCAGACGTGCTAATTATGTTTTCACTGCAAATAGATTTTCAAAGATATTGCCAAGACAGATGTAACATAGCTAGCAGCTGATAAACATCAACACCCCAAGAACAGTGTTAACTCATTCTTATCTCCTTATATTCCAACTATTAACTTGCATAGTTTTGCATGCCATGACTTTCACCATGAAAAGGACTTACATGGAGTCCTCCAGATGTAACTGTATGTCCACAACGCGCTGTAGGAGCTTGACCTGGAAGCTTCAGTTGGGTCCATCCAGGGCTTTCGTTCTCTTCCTTCCGGAAAAATCAGAAGTTTTTATATAGCTAAGTGCTTAAACAGGAAAAATAGTCATAAAAGCTTCAAGAGAGAAGTCCAGAAAAAAAGGAAGTGGAAAGATAAAACCAATTCAAACTAACTACAGCAGATGATAGGGTACAAATAACATGTGAGTGATCCAAAAGAATGTTGACTAATTACTGGAAAGCAGTAAATGAAAAATAGAAATTCCAGCTATACGAACTAGAGTATTTCATCAAGGGCAGCCAAACTCATATTTTCTAGGAAAATTTTGTTCCTATTTCTGAAAGACTGGATAAGCACAGCCACGAAATATTAGCTGAAAATGTATGACATGCCATACCAATTCAAGAAGCAACTGATGAAGTTAAATCACATCTTCTCTTCTTTACAAACCCGAAGATAATTTACCAGAAAAAGGAAACATCACTAGTAAAAAAGGAAGTCCACTGATCATAACTTGAAGCTTCAAGGTAAAGTATACCTTCTTCAATTAGGCCCTTCAAAGCCCACAAGTCAGCCATGATTGGCCCTCCACCTCCTACCCAAAAGTAAAGTTAACCACATCAGTCCATATATTAAGAAAGAGATTCAAGTATCTGAACACATGTAGATTAAAACTAAAACCAATTAAAGATGTCAATGCCAACTTGCCCTACAAAAAGATGAAAAGTAAAAGCATCACCAGCGTATGTAAGTTGTAACAAACATACCTTCAGATAAAATTGCAACTGAACGGTTAAATGTATTTTAGAAAATGGTAAATGTATTATAATAACTTGATTCTATGCCTACGTATATTATGTGTTTGTTCTCCATGCCCTCCAAAGTGGAAAAAGAAATAGACAAGTTGAGAAGGGTTTTCTTACGGCAAGGAAACGTACAAAGATTCAGACTTCTCCTTAATGGATCTCATACTCTGTTAAATTCCTTGCTATATTGAAATCTTTCAAGACCATTTCTCTGGACGCCCATGCACTGAACCATTTACTTTGGGGCATTTAAGAGCTTCATTCCCTTCAACATTAGTCTAGGATGTAGCATAGACGTGCAAGTTTAAATCCTTAACTTCACTCACCATATTAAGTGTCCGTGAAATTTTCCCTTATGCTTAAGTCAGACTAAATTTGCTGATAAACTGCTTTAACTCAGACTGTAAGGGGGGGGGGGGGTGGGGGGGGGTCTCGAACCTAATAAGTAGAAGACCTCAAGATTTCCTAAGCAGCATAGAACCTTTACAGTATATGAAAATAGCTGAATAGCAAATTACAGAGACAAACATGATATTTCCAAGCCAAATATAAATCATCATCCACATTTACCTCTACCACCATAGACAAGCAATCTTTTCTCGACCATAGTAGAGGTATGGCCACATCTAGGTGGCGGTAAAGTTCCCAAAACAGATAACTCCCTCCACTCAAGAGACACTGTTCAAAAATCATACCAACTGTTATGGATAAATTGCTATCTAACACAGGGAAAGGATAGAGAAAACCTAGAGTTGCTATCAAAGACAGTACTTGTGTCCAAGATATAGACATCTGACAACCACTTTTTACCATCCCAGCCACCATACCTGCATGCAAATCAATGCCAAAAAATAATGAAAGAAGGATAAGACATAAGCACCAGCAGAAGGTAAGACAAACTTACATAACAATTTTACTGTTTCCAATGGCTGAAGCAGCTGCGAAATCCCTTGCAGAAGGTAAGTCACCAAAACTTGTCAACTCTGACCATTGCCATATATCTAGCACCGCAGAGATAAAAAAATCAAGACCCAAGTCTGATGACAGTGAAATATACTTTCTTCACATGGTTTGCAGCTTAGAATGCCATACTAACAGCGGATAACTAGCAGGGAAGGAGTCGGGCACTAGTTAATTTAAGTTGTTTCTGCCAAGCAAACACTGATCAGTGAGAATGTGGATTTTATACGGCTTAGAGGCAGCTTTACTCGGATAGCATACTCTGTTTTTCATACCCCTCTACTGAGAGCTGTGGAGGAAACTTTGGAGCGCTGGAATTAAAGGAAGATGGACACTAGGAAGGAGCTGAAGGGTGATCCTCTATGCATCTTTTGGTTGATTTGAGAGAAAGGAATTCTTCTGAAGGAGTTGAAAATCCATTATGGATGATTAACAACTCCTTGTTGATCATTACTATATTTTAGGCAAAAGAGCTATCCAATATTGTATAATTGGAAGGAGTTTGATGTAAACCTGCACTGTTTAGTGATACGACTTGGTGTAATATCAATGAGATTATTGTGAACTTATCACAAATGTCCGATGATAGTGAAAAGAAGAAATAAAAAATAATGATGCATTTTTCTTTGCATAGCAGCTCACATAGCCAAGGTAGAAAGAAATCCTTACCAGTATCCAGAACCCAAAAATCACCTAATCTGAAAATGAGGATACCCAATTAAAGGCATTGGCAGAAGCAACAATTATAATACACAACATATGAGTTATGTAGCATCTACCTTCTACTGCCAGATCTCCCACCAAAGATGAACATATGACAGTCAATTGATACAGCAACGTGGAATGCTCGTTGGCTGGGACCCACTTGGCCATCAGAACCACTGCCTGTGCAATCTGGCTGAAACCACAATTTGTTTTCTGAAACATTAACAACATATGAATTTAGAATATAAAAATGACTGATTGATTCAATACAAAGCAACCACATTGGCTTCCAGAAACTGTATTATGCAATGTCACAGAGGAAATATCAACCGAAGACGCCTCAATCCCAAAAAAGTTTTCATTGGCCATATGAATATTTTACATATCTGTTCCGCTCCATCCGGCCTATTTCATTGAAGTACTCAATAATTTATCTTAAAAAGAAAAATTACTGGTTCTGCAAAACTAAAGGTTCTCCGACTCTCACTTATTAGACTGAAACACAAATCTCTGACCAAACTAACTATAAGTTCTCTAAATTTCACCCTACTCCAACATGACATACAAATCTATACCAAACTAACAAAACGTTCTCTAAATCTCACACTTATTCTAACAACCCAAAAACTACCTCATATTTATTCCTACACTGAATTACAAATCTCTAATAAAACTAACTAAAGATTCCTTAAATATCACACTTACTCCGACCTTGTAATACAAATTCATAAACTATAGGTTCTCTAAATCTCACACTAATTCCAATAGAGTTTAAGTTCTATGCAATGACAGTGTAAAAAATATTTACACAATCACATCATGTATTCCGTAATTACAAGTCAATCTCTTGATAAGCATTAACTGGTAATGTGGTAAAATGGGTAATTAATCTACTATCACAGGTTAAAATTTACTGAAATTGTACAAAAGTCTTTACACTATTAGTGCTTTCCGCCAAATGATATGTTTAAATACTAATAGGGATGGCAATGGGGCGGGGCGGATGCGGCAAAACCCACAAAAACTTCCAACCCCCCCCCCCGAATAGTTATTTTTTCAGTTTTCAACACGCCCCGCCCCGCTTAAATTTTTTTCTTTTTTCTTTAATTTTTTTTCTAAAATAAACTAGTTTGACATTTTATTATTTTATAAAATGGAGAGTTTAATAGAATCACATAAACATAAAACTGGGAGAGTATTATGCTGATCTAAGAGTGGCAAACGGGTGGGTCGGGTCGGATATGGATCGGGTCGAAAACGGGTAATAAAAAAATGAATAAATTATCCGACCCGCCCCATATTTAATACGGATAAAAAATGGGTTAACCGGCGGATAATATGGGTAACCATATTATCTATGACTTCTTGCATATGATCACTTTTGAGAGAATTCTTAGTCTTCCTAACTTGAGGAACCCACAATTTGAGGCTTTACAAATGTAAAAGTTAGACCCATTGGTTATCCATTTTCTAAATGGATAATATGGTTCTTATCCATATTTGACCCATTTTTAAAAAGTTCATTATCCAACCCATTTTTTAGTGGATAATATGGGTGGTTAATTGTTTTCTTTGAACCATTTTGCCACAACTATGCTGATCTTTCAAAATAAATGGGTTACTATCATTTCCTATTACTAATACCATATCTTGACTTATGTAATATCATTTTGGCGAGACTTATGCAAATTGGTTAATTATAAATCAAAATAGTATTCGTGCTAGTGAAGAAAAATGTGAAATTGTAGTTAAAATGATTGCTTTGTTTCAAAAAAGATAAAATTCAAAGTTGCCCCGTATTAAACTCGAAACCCGCCCCGCTTTAAAAAATTTAAAAACTGTTTAACCCGCACCGCACCCGCATAAGAGCAACCCCCCCCTAATCAAACAAAACCCGCCCGCCCCGCCCCATTGCCATCACTAAATACTAATTTCACCTCAAGTGAAGAGAGAATTAAATGTTAGCAGCTGATTAGGAGGGAATCAACTTACCAATATCATAGACAGTGATGTCATTAAGGAACTTCTTGTCAAGTAGTCCGCCGAACACCACAACTTTCGATTTCCCAATGTTCACTGCAGTGTGTCCACTGATAATTGGCAACAAAAGTTTCGTATTTAGCATCAAATTCAAATGATTCAGACACAAATGAAGACAGATTGAAATGCAAAATTTTATCTTACCTTCGAGGTTGTGGAATCGTTCCGGCGAAATCGGAAGAAGATGCTCGAATCCAGTAATGCATTTTCACTCTCTCTCTCTCTCTCAGTTGATCAGCTGATTCGTATGAGCTGAAGGTGCTGATGTTCCTACTGGATCCGATCCGACTTTGACTTGCCAACCGGGTGGGCATATTATGTGGGTTGCAATGTTGTGGGCTTCTGGCTAATGTATCTGGGCCTAACATTGGCGATTTTCAGGTAAAAATAGCTTGGCTAACCAGTTTTCGGACCGGTCATTATACCTGTTAATCGGACCGGGCTGACCCGTTTTCAGTCCGCTCCAACCCGGTTCAGCCCGGTTCAACCCGTTACTGTTCACAATTGGGCGGGTTGGGACGGGTTGGTTAAGGGGCCGGGTTGTTGACGTTAACGTTTAGCTAACGTTGCACCTAACCCGACTAACCCGTTAAGCTTTACCGGGTTGAACAGGGGCTGCAGCCCGTTAGCAGCCCGATTACCGTTGGAAAATTTTATTTTATTTTAAATTAATTTTATAAAGTGTCAAGTATCAACTATCAAATTTCGGTCTATCAATTGAAGTTTGATTTTTGATATCAAAAATTCAAAATTAGTGTGGCATCTGGAATCCCGGTACACTCGTTCCATCTCTTTCTCTTATTTTGTGTACACTTATTTTATTATTTAGAATTATTAATATAGTTTATTAATTAAGTTTCTTAATTTAGTTTCTTGATTTAATTTCTTAATTTAATTTCTTACTTTAATTTATATAATGGATTTGTTTAGAGCGGCCAAAAAAACGTGCACTAGTAGAAGTGGTAGTAAGAAAACTTCAAAAAGAACAAGAGGTGATGTTGGTTCTTTTAGTAGCTTTACACATATTTCTGAAAGTTCACCTGAAAATTTAAATGTAGATTATGAGCGAATACAAGAAAATTATGGTGTAGATGATGATTTAGATGATATGTTAGATGATATTCAATCACCCGATAATCTTGAAACACCACCACCTACACCTGGTAATGCTAGTCAAACTCAAAATATTAGGGGGTGCAACAAGTAGGCCTCCCCTCCCTATTAAGAAGAATCGACGATTAAGAAGTAAGTGTTGGATGTTTTTTGAAAGACTAGAAGATCAAAAAAATTATGTAAAATATAAAATTTGTAGCGAACATTATAAGCATGAGCCCGGTAAGTGTGGGGGGATGGGTCAACTTCGTAGGCATATGGAAGAGAAACACCCTCTTGATTGGGGAGTAGATGAGTCATCTGGGCAACAAAAACTTAACTCGACTACTGGGGGGTTATTTGGAAAATACGATATTAAGAAAGATCGGGAAGAATTAGCTAAAATGATTGTTTTAGGTTGTTTACCTTTTAGTTTTGCTTCTTCACCGTATCTTGTTACTTATATTCAAAGAATTTATAAGCCTATGTTTAAAGGTATTCCTAGAAGTACTTGTAGAGCTGATATCTTTAGGCTTTTTGGACAATATCAGACATATATACGTTATTTGTTCGCAAGTCTTCCTTGTAAAGTTTCTCTTACTTCTGATATTGGTCGTGCTGTAAACGGAAATGATTATTTGGCTGTTACATGCCACTGGATAGATGATAATTTTTGTATGCAAAAACGTATTATTGCTTTTAAATATGATGAAGATCAAAGTCATACTGGTGCATTTATAAGTAACACTATACATGAAGTTGCTATATTTTATAATCTTGCAGAAAAAGTTGTGTATGTCATTTGATAATGCTTCTAGCAACAATGCTGCTATTAAATATTAAAATTGCATCTACACCCACCACTTCCTGAAATATTTCATGTTAGATGTGCATGTCATATTTATAACTTGATTGTGAAGAGTGGCCTTGAATTATTTAGAGATGAAATTACTTTAGTTAGGAGAGCTGTTTGTGTAATTCAAGGAAATAATAGAAGTGCTAGATTAAACGCATTTAAGGAAAAATGTGTACAATATGGACTAAACCAAGACTCATGCCTGAAGAAATAGTTACTAGGTGGAATTATACTTATTTGTTCTTAAGATGTTGTTATAAATATAGAATGCCTATAACTGAAGTTGCTAATTCTCATTGTACCGATCCTAACCGTTTGTTAACATCTAGAACTTGGGATGTCATTCATGATGTTGTACGATTTTTACAAAAATTTTATGTGGCTACACTTGAGTTTTCTGGAGCTTATTATCCTACCATTTCAAATGGTTTAGTTCATATTGCTGAAATTTCTCTTTTACTACATAATTTGAAGCAAAAAGAAGGATATGCTACTGTTGTTGAATCTACGCTAGATAAGTTTAAAAAGTATTTCTACCCAATTCCCTTGCATTTACCTAATTGGTGCTATTTTAAACCCTACTGTCAAAATGATAAAGTGTCGCCAATTAATTAGAGCTTTATATACTTATATGGATATTGGACTAACTGAAACTCCTGATATTGACACTTGTGTTTCTGAGCTACACACACATTTACAAACTTTATATAATTATTATGCTAACATTGTTGATGCTTCTTCGGTTGTAGATGCAAATATTCCTTCAACTAATCCTTCAACATCTGGAACAAAAATGGATGATGATGATTGTGTTCAAGATTATCAGATTTGGTCTACACTAGGAGAGCATCAACAAACCAGTAGCAGGAATATAGATGAACTACAATTCTACTTGCAAGAGTCACTAGAGCCCCTCACAAAGGATTTTCAACCGCTGGGTTGGTGGAAGAGCAACTCAAATCAATTTCCTGTTCTTTCGGTCATGGCTCGAGACGTGCTTAAATGTGTCGATTTCAACAGTCGCATCAGAGAGCGCATTTAGCCAAGCAAGGCAGCAGCTAGGAGATACCCGTCATTCATTGGGCAGCAACGCTTTGAAAATTCTAGTGTGCTTCAGAGATTGGATAAGATCAGAACGGCGAAATCAAGGGCGTGCCGAGGTAGACGAAGAGGAGGACTAAGAAATTGGAGATATAATGGTTTATGGATCCGATACAATCAATGCCGGAAACCTAGAACATCATGTTGACATGGAAGAACTTAGTAAAATTATGTAAAATATGTGATGTACTATTTCTTATTTTTAATTTGTTGTGAACTTTTAGTTTGCAAGTTCAAAAATCAAAAAATAACTTGCAAATTAATTTGAAGTATGAAGAATATAATTTGAACTTGCCTATTGGTCTTATTAAATAATTTTTTGTAGCCCTTAAAAGTTTTCAAATACTTAACTATCTAAGTTTCTAAGTTTTTAATTTCAAATTTTTAATTTTATAATTTTAAAATACAAATTTCAAATTTAAAACTTTAAACTTTAAACTTCAAAGTTTAATTCTAACCCTTAAAAGTTTGCAAATACTTAACTATCAATAACACTGAATAAGAAAAATAAAATTTAATTTAAAAAAAAAACTGGAGCCCGGCCCGCCCTAACCCATTTTTAGCCTTAACCCGTACGGACCCACAAAAACCCGAAAAAACCCAGCCCACTTACAGCCCGCTTACAGCCCGCCCGCTAACCGAACGGGCTGGGGGTTTTCCCATTCAGCCCGTCCCAGCCCGCCCGTTAAACACCCATGCTGGTCATTCAGAAATAGCCAGTGTTTGCAAAGTCATTAAAAAATAGCCACTATTTTGCTGCAACATGAAAACTTCCAGCATAATATACTGGAGATCGGTGCACCTGTATATGAGCTTCCAGCATATTATGTTGGAACTCCAACACGAGGAAAGTTCCAGCATAATATACTGGTATATTATACTGGAACTCCAGTATATTATGCTGGATACTGGACTTCCAGTATAATAGCTAGAGTTCCAGTATACTTATGTTAGAACTCTAGTATATTATGCCGGAGTATATTTCGGATTTTGAACAGTGTTTTCGTTCAGATTTATCTTTACATAAAAAGTGGTTAAATTTCGATTACTTTTGAAATTGTGGCTATTTTAAAATGACCGCTTGTAAATCTGACTATTTTTGAATTTCTCCGGATTTTCGCAAATGATCCTTTTGAGGCTACTATTTAGATTTTGACCACTCTTTAGATTGTCCCCTGCTAACCAGATGAATCCGAATTTTTTAGGAGTACTATTTCCAGACTACTACAGACAGTTGTTTGCATCTTCACTTATACTATTATATTAATTTTCTTTCGTAACTATAGTCCCTAGATATTCTTCCACTGATACTGCTGTAGGCAATAAATTTGCGTCAAGAAAATAAAATCAAGATCGAAAAATATTGTAACAATCGTAGTATTTTATTTTGAATATTTGAGTGTTACAATCTCTATGAATCCTCTGATTCTTCTTTTCAATAGTAAATAAATTCAAGGGCCTTTGAGCTTGATCTTGAATATGTAGTTATCGCCACGAACGATGATCTTGTTCTTGAGCTTTAGCTTGATTGCTTGAACTTGACCTTGATTTGTTCTTCGTTCTTGAGCTTGAACTTGATTTCTTGAACTTGAACTTGATTGCTTGAAGCTTGTAGAGAAATTTGCGGTGTTTGATCCACGAGCTCTCTCTTGCTTCTTGTTATAACTTTTTGTGTGTTTTCTGGGTTATGAAGACCCCTATTTATAGTTGTGGGAGGGAAGAGTTATGATAAGAACAAACTCTTTCCGTTCAATCAAATCAAAGTGTGACAAGACCACATTTGATTGGTCAGAACATGTCACTTGCACACGTGGCACGATTTCATTAGCTTTTTAATATGACTTGGCATGCCTTGTCATTTTGACAGGTGGCATGATCCTATTGGCTCTTCCGTTTGACTTGGCGTGCCACGTCATTTTACCTGTGACACCAAACTAGGCCTCTAGGAAGATGATATCTTGGGCCTAATGAAATGGGCTCATCACTTTAACCCAATTAAATGGGCTAGCCCAATGGATTAAGACTTATTTATTTAATCCATATATATTGAATTTATATAATTAATTCAATTATATTACCCATAATATTATTTGGACTAATATATCTTGAATTTAAAATATAATCCAAATTATTTTATTGAATCTACATTCAATAAAATTTGTATGCCTACAACTACTATAATTCTTTGAAACTATAGACCATATAAAGTTTTCAAATTTGTGGGAATTCAACCTTACATATAATTTTTACAAAAAAACACCGGAGGACTATAAGGTGACACACTAACTTGCACGTATTAGGCTTGATTATTTAAATAGCAAATTCTTTTTTCAC